GCTCGCCTTGATCTAGATGGCCTACGGAGTGCGTCGTGTTCCGACAAGCCTGGTCCAGGAGCTGAGGGGGCGCGCGCAGCACTGGAATTCAGCGCAGCCCGCGATCCGCCCGGAGCTCTCAGTGCTCGACAGACTCCTGGGGCATGTCGCGGGGGGGTCTCCTTGGGCAGCCCCCAAGGGCGACCCAGACGCCGCGGCAGCAGCCCGGGAGGAGTGGGACCGCGCGCCGGAGCTCTCCAGGGTGATGTTCGACGCGCTGGAGGCCTGGAGCACCTCCTTCCAGGCGGGCTGCAGCCAGGCGTTGACTCCCCGCGAGCTGATGGCCCTGCCAGGGGTAGCGCGCCGCACCCGCTGGACAGGAGGCGACGTGACCCTGGATGCGATCGGGGCGGTGGACTTGGGCCGCGCTGGGGACGGCGCGGCTTCCGGCCCGCCCGCGTACCTCGCGACGGAAGCGAAGCCGCTGCTGCAGCAGCTCAGCGACGCCGTGGTCGGGCCGAGCTCGGAGAGTAACTGGATCACCTCTATCGCTGAGCTCCTAGCACTGGTGGCATTGGCGGCCTGCAGGGGATGCCTGTGGGCAAGTGAGCTCGTCTTTACGTCACGGACAACGCGAACGTGAAGTCCTGGCTGACGAAGCGCCGGCCCAAGAACGCCCCGGCACGACACCTGCTGCGCGTGATCGAGAGGCTCGAGGCCGAGCGCGGCTTCGCGCTCACGTCGTTCTACGCACGCACATACCACAACGAGGCGGCGGACTGGCTGACGCGGGAGGAGGTAAAGCAGGTCACAGCGAGCTCGCGAGAGCCGGCTGGCATCGCCTGAAGCCCCCCGCTGCGTGGAGCTCGATCGCCGCGGACGCCCAGGACAAGCTCCTGCGGATCCCGGGCGAGACAGGGCCGCCGGCCGAATCAGCGCCGCGGCGCCGCGCGCCCCGGACGCCCGCTGCGCCCAGGGCCAGCCTCCCACTGGCGGGCCAGATCGGCATCGAGCTAGGCGGCCTCCCCCAGGGATATTGGGACGCCTTCGTCAAACTGGGGGGACGCGAAGCCGACCAGGGGCAGGCGGCCGCCCGGGCGCTGACGTCTCTGACGATGGACCCCAGAGGCTTTTCGAAGCGGAGGCGCTCCATGTCACAGTGGACCAAAACCGCCCCAACGTGGTCGTCGTAGACACTCTGGTGGAACTGCCCGCCCAGAGGCTCGAGCGCTCTCTCGAGCAGCTCGGCTACATGCTGACCGCGTTCGACCTCGAATGTTCCGAGCATGGGGATGCAACATCGAGGACGAGGAAGGCGCTTGTAGCCGGGCGCGGCCCGCTGGCGCAGTGCCTGCCATGGCGAGCATTAGTTTGCCGCCGGCACGCCGCGTAGCCCACGGGGTCAAGCACTTCCTGGAGAAGGATCTGAGCGTGGGCTGGCTGGACATCCAAGGAGACATCCTCCTGGGCTCCAAGATCCGCGCCACGAGCAGTCCGCTGCTGCCGAAGCCGGCGGGTCACATCACGATCGAGAAGGTCAAGCACCTGCTGCGCGGCCCAGACGGCCCTGCCAGCGCCCCATCGGCGGCCAGGACAAGAGCCCACAGGACCCGGCGCGACACTGCCGTGCATCCCCGGCGGCGCCCACGGAAAGGTCCGGGCCCTCGCGCCGAAGACCATCCTCGGCCCTGCCAAGCCGCCGGCGGCCGGAGAGCCACAGCTCGACAAGACCGCGGCCCGGCCACGCACCCCCAAGGGCGCGAGGTCAAGGCTGGCCCGCAGGGGGCGAGCGATGACGACGTCCGAGCTGGCCCAACCGCTGGCTCTGGGACAAGCATGCGAAGGTCTGCCACCCACGCCCGCGCACCCCATGCTGGGTGGAGAACGCTACGGGGAGCGCCTTCGTGACCAGAGGACCGAGGTCACGCTCCAGAAGCTCAGCGAAGGTACCCGGAGCAGGCACGAGGGCGGGCAGCGCCAGTGGACGGCCCACCGCTCGGCGCAGCTCAAAGAGCCATGGCCCCTGGGCCGGGGCAGGGCTGCGAGGTCGCAAGACGAGGACGCCCTGATCGATTTCGCGATCATCCCGGCGGCGGTGCCGGCGCGCACCGCGGGGGCGGCGAAGCAAAAGCTATTCGCCATCAGGCATGCTCAACTGATCGTCGGGCACGGCGACCCGCTCCTACACCGTGGACGGCCGCGGACAACTCTGGCTGGTCTGAAGAGGCCCCAAGGCCCCAGCCAGCGGCGTAAGAAGCCAGTCACCCCACGGATGCTGCCGTGGCTGAAGCAGCACATCCACCAGGATGCAGGCCTCGGCCCAGCGGACGCCGCCACCGCGTATGCAGCCATCATGCTCGCCTTCTTTTTCCTCCTGCGAGCGTCAGGGCACTCGGTTGCAGACAAGTCCCGGTCGCTAGAGACAGTGGTCCACGGCGAAGATGCGGAGGCGAGGCCCAGCGGGGAGCGAGTCGGCTCGTTCGCCCACGCAGAGAAATGCGCCCTGCACATCAAGGGGTCGAAGGCGGACCAGTACAACGTGGGGGCCGCGCGCAACCAGTACGCTACCCAGTCGACGCCGTGCCCGATCACGGCGCTCGCGGCCGCGCAGGCGCAGCACCCGCAGCGCTTCGACCACGGCACGGAGGCGAGACTGCCCCTGTTCTGATGGGCATCCGGCGCACCAGTGAGGCGCGAGGAGGCGCGGCACTTCCTCACGCTGGCAGGCCTCGCCTCGGGCCTCCAGAAAGAGGGGATCGGTTCTCATTCGCTGAGAATCGGCGGGGCCACAGCGATGTACCATGTAACAGACGATGTCCCCAAGGTCCAGCGATGCGGCCGATGGGCGTCGGACTCATTCCACGCCTATCTTTGGGGATCGCACGAGCCGCAGCGGGACGCGGCCCGACGCATGGCCAACGACCGCTCAGAGCTGACGACCCCAGCCGCGAGGCCCAAAGAGGGAGCCGCCAGCACTAGTGCCGGGCGAGCTGCCTCGGAGGGCTTCTCAGCCCTGGGCAGGGCAACCGCGGCAGCAGCCACGCCGGGGCACGCGGCAGCGGCCGGTCAGGAGCTCTCAACGATCAAGGAGGACGAGGGGCACATCAGCTTGTCATCATCACGATCCCCCTGTGGACTGCGGCGAAGGTCATCGTCCTCCTGGTGACGGCGCTGGGCGCGACCCTGGCACTGGCCTGGCACTGCTGGCGCAGCGCGCGGCCGGGCGGGCGGCCCGAGGGCCCGCGCGAGGCGCCGGGGGACGCAGCCGCGAGCAAGCCGAAGCCGCCCAAGAAGCCCAAGGCCGTCTACTGCGACGCGGGGGTTCAGGGCCCGGTTCACTTCAACGGCACACGCAACCTCCACAAGAACCAGGGGTTCCAGCGCGGGGATGAGGTCATGCGCGGGGTAGCTGACAAGCAGCATCGCGCCTGACCAGCGGCGCCGCCGGCCGTAAGGCCTCGCGAGCGAGGATGTGGAAGGGGACCCAGCCGCCGGCCAGTGGCCTGGCGAGCTCAGCAGCGCCGCCGGCCACGGGCCTGGCGGACAGCGAGGTGGAAGGGGAGTCCGCCGCCGGCCTCGGCCTGGCGAGCGGAGCCCGCGCCTGCGTCCCACGCCGGGCGCGGCTCGGGTGGTGCTCACCCAGAGCAGCTGGTGCTGTGGCGGCGGCGGCTACGCGCCTCAGGGCAGCTGGCGCCGCACCGGGGCCCACGCCGCCTCCCACCCGCGGCTGGGCTCAGCAGCGACGGAGGGCGGCAACCCTTTGGGCGGCGTAGCCGGCCGCTTTTCGGCCACGCCCGCCCACGCCACTCCACGGCCCGCGCAGGGCGCCTGCGGGCGCCGGGCGCACGTGGCAGACGCTGGCGACTACGCTCGCCCCGCATCTCCATGGCCAGCCTGGTTCCAGGTGGCGTGGCCCAAGTTCTTCTCCGAGCCTGGACAGGGCCGTCGCGGGGACGGCCGTGCGCGTGGCTCTCAGGACCAGAGGTGGCGGCAGAGCCCGCTTACGCGTGGCGGAAGAGTGGAGCTGGTGCGCACGCGCAGCGCCATGAACATCTTCATCATCTGCTGCTGCTGCTGCCTCCCTCCTCACCTTGAGCCCCACCACAGTCGGGCTCAAGCGTCTTTTCGGCAGTGCGCACTTGACTGCTAGCCGAGACAGCCACGGGAGAACTGAGGGTGACCCCTCGCGACCTCGGAGCCGAGCGCACGAACAGCCCAGGCGGCGCGGCGCACGGCACGGGGGGCACGGGACAGGAAGGGCGCCGACGCCGCTCCGCGGGGCGCGCGTTTCCCGGAGCGCCTCCCCAGGGAAGACGGCTGGACCCCGTCACGGCTGCTGGACCCCCCGGGGGCGCGTTCGGGGGGGGGGGGGCAGGCGAAGCTGCGGCTCGAGCCCGCGGCACGCGCGGGCGGCACGCGGGCGTCGCTTCGCGGTGCCATCGGCAGCGCGAGGGGCGGAGGGCGGGCTCGCGCCAACCCGTTGCTCCAGGACGCCCCAGTCCTGGCAAGCGTGGAGCCGAGCGCGGGGGACGTCCTCGCCAGCTGCTGCCCGGGCACCCCCGCCCCCCCGGGGGTGGCCGCGCCCGCCCCCGGCTGTAACTTCAGCCCCGCCACGGCTCCGCCCGCCGCCGCCGCGATGCGGCCGCGAAGGCCTTCTTGGGCGGCATGGAGCTCATCCAGGTCCTCGGCCCATCTCGTTGCGCTGAAGCTTCATCATCCGCGGACGCGTGTCCTAGCGGGCCTAGGACGCGGGGGGGGGAGAATGAGGGAGTGAAGGGGCAGGAGGAGCTGGGAGAGCGGAGGACAGGAGAGGGAGGAGAGATAGGCAAGAGGAAGGAGCAGGGAGGGAGCAGGAAGCAGGAATGGGGAGTTCGGAGAGGGGCAGAAGCAACAAGGAAGAAATGAGGAGGAATGAGGATGACGAAGGAAAATGGAAACAGGGACTACAATGCCCTGCCGAGGAGACGTCGAGTCGAGGGGGGGCTCTGCAGCCCCCTTCGCCAGAGGACGGGCGCCAGGTCCAGTCGAAGAGCTTGACAGTGCCGTCTCCCTGGGCCGTCGCTAGCACGTGCTCATTGGC